CATCTTTCTCAGGAGGACAGTCTCTTTTTCTCTTGTTTGCTTTCGTTTCAACAGTCCTTCCTCCATTGCCTCCTCTTTACATGTCTGCCATTCATCTAATTTATACTCCATTTTTTGTACCGCATCACAGCGCACACACTGCTCTTTCTTGCAATTGTCCCTGTGTCTGCTTCCACCTGTTCCATGGTCCACTGGTTGATTGTGAATCCTATTAGGGGACACCCCCAGCCTCCCCCAGCCACACTACCTGGCACTAATCCATCAGAGGGGCAGTCAGGCAGTGCACCGCCCCGTCACCACCTATCCCCGATATCCGCCAGTGCCCAGTGCTGCAGCAGAGGCCCCAGCTGGGGGACTGCCAAAGCTTGGTCATTATCAGATGACGGATGGCTTCATATCAGGTGTGTAAAGCGGGCAAGCGTTGGAGAGGGCCATCTGGCCGATGATTTGGGGAAGCTGGGAAGTCCGGTCCACAGGCGACGTATAGCACGTTGGGCGATGATGATGGATGGGATCAGGAGTCTCTCCACCAGTCACAGCAACTTTGGCAGCTGTTATATGTACAAGCATAGATGAACTGTTTTGTAATCTTAAAATATTTTGGGCATGGATGGACAGTATTTGTTTGTTAGTTGCATGTGCAAACAGTCTTACTAACTTCAGTTTTCTCCTCACAGAAATCCTTTTTCTTTCCTGCCTTTACCTTTCCTGTAACATTTTGTTCTTTCACCTGTCTGTACAGTACATTTGCTGTTCTCAATCAAGTAAACCCAAGAAACAAATATCTCATTCTAACATGTGGAAGCATCATTGTAGCATTATAAATTCGATACCCGAGGCTTGAGTATTCCCTCTGTATCTTGACATCAAATTTAATGAGTTTTACAGGCTCTCTCTGAAGAAGTCTTATTCAGTTAGACAATGTGAGCAGAGCAATTATCAGGACTGACTTTTTATCCATTAGCTGCTGTTACTGCAGAAGTGCTTCAACAGCAGTGTTAGTCACTGATGCCTTATCTAATAATATATTACAGTTTTGTGATTACTTTTCTCTGTGATTACAATTTGGGATTCAGTAATTACACTGCAGTTAGTTATCCTATTAATGCGGCATTACTTTGACATTTTGAGGCTAGGTTTGTTCAGTGTCCGGTAGATGGAGGGTTGGGATCAGTTTGGACGGTCTGGGACACATAAGCTTGACACAGGAGCTGGAGGTTTAGGACGTTAGTCTCTACCTAAAGAGGAGAAATGCATCATGCTGCAAAGTTATCTTATCTGCATGTTGTGTATTCCTAACTGTCTTGTCAGCATTAGCCACAAAGAGGCAGGAATGACATGGTTTATTTAAGAGTTTGAGGGTATATCGCCCACATGCTTTCACTATGAAGACAGGACTTCAATAAACCTTGCCCTGTACAGCCATCATGGCTAAATACCTCCACACTGTAAGCTGGCTGCTTGTTATACCATAATGTTTTGTTTATTATCTCTACAAGAGTTATACACAGAAATTGCACAGTGATGTGTGGGAATGGAAGATTTGGGATAGTTTAACAGAAATTCTGATCATGTTGGTTGAGCAACAACAAGTAATTAATTACTTTTACAATGAGTAAAATGTAATGAGTAATTGGTTCTGCTTTTTAAGTAACTTGTCCTACTCTCACCAACTCTCAATAAACAGTGAAAGTGTCTTCTTAAGGTGGTAACTGCTTTCTGAGCTGATGAGGAGTTTCCTCAGCTGAATGCCACTGGGGTTTTTTTTTTTCGGCAAAATCAAAAGGCCAACAAGATGATTTATCAACTGAGTGACAACATGTAACAAAGGGATTAGCCAAGCTGTCAAAAGGAGGCTACTGTATGAGGGTAAGGGCAAAACACTGAAGAGTAAAGACCTATGATGTATTTTTATAAATGCACCTTTGGGTGAAATCTGTCATGGTTTCTGTAATCATTTCTGCCTGTGTATGTTTATGAGCAGTTAATCCAACTGTATGTGCCTTTGTGAATTGTAGTGTCAGTAGAAGCCCAAGGATTCATAAAGTATATCTGGGTTCTCAATTTTCCCATGCAAATGGAAAAGCCTCTTGAGATGTGCTGCAAAGGTCTCATTGACTGAGTACACTTCCAGTTGTTAAAACGCGGCCCCATCCTGGCAAATTAACTCACTCCATCATCTCCATTGTAAAATCAGACTTCAACTTTCAGAGGACATGCTCACTTGGAAAAAAACAGACTTTCCGTCGATCCGACTGATGAGGAAAGAAACAGAAACATTTTTTTGCATCTTGTGTGTCAACTTTGATTTTTTGTTTCCACGACCAGAGGGAACACAGTAGCGTTGACAGGGATAAGAAGGAGGTGGTGTGGTGGCAAGCAAGTGGGAAGATGGGTTTTTCACATGTTCACTGTGTACTGCAGCACCTCCAAGGAGTGTGAGCGTCCCTCCAGGCCCCGGCAGTGAAGCATGACAGACATGTATATCTACAGTTTTAATGTTCACGCTGACAGTACACTAGGGATATCCCTATTTTAGGCTTTTCTTTATTTTCACAACAGGACATTTGTTTATGTGCAACTGTTTGCTCATTAGGCATGGAATTTGTCCTGTAATATTGGATGACATAATAAGACATCATTATCTGCAGTCTGATTTAAAAGTTACTGTCTGTCAGGATAGTCTTCTCCAGAAGTTGGGGAGACTCATTTACATTTTCATGGAAGAAGGCGAGGATGTCAGATTTCGCCCACTTACTTCTTCTGCTTTGCCACGAGCCAGACGGTGGGTTGAATTCCATAATACCCCAGTGAGCGGGAGCGAGATCCCTCTCCAGACTGTACCTGCAAAAGCTGCTACACTGCAGCTTCTATCCCATCATGCAGCTCTGTCTCTATTCCTTCCTCCCACAGTCCTGTTCAGTCTCTATCAAAGGAAGATTAGGGATTTAGTTTGAGTTGTTAAATTCAGGGTACTGCTTTTCTGACTTTCTCAGAGAGTTGCAGTGTGTGGCATGACATGTTTAAATATTTGATTCAGTTCATTGTGCACGTGTGCGTTGATATAAAATGCTCAATGGCATTTTCGTTTAACAAAATAGACTCAAATATTTCCGCTAATAAATTTGAGACTATAACATCACTGATGCCTTTAGTGTGCACATTCCAACCAGTTTAATTTGCGAAAACATTCAGTAACAGTCATGTTTTTTCTTCACAGTTTGACACTGTCTCCATCAGCGCTACGCTTCCTTATTGTCTCTCAGAGATTCATCAGGTGTTCAGTGTCTGCTGAATCACTTGAGAACAGCTCCAAAAGTTGCTGTTAACCTTAGACATAATTCTCTAAAAACTGAATTTATGTGCTCGTGAACCCCATTTTTCTGTTGGTAGTGAGTTGTCCGTCATCTGCAGAGGAATGCTGCCATTCAGGAATGAACAGAAATTTATATCTTCCCATCCAGAAACATGACATTTACACAGTGCAGACTAATTGGTGTGTGGAAATACATTTCATCCAGTTTCATGGAAAACTGGATTGTAGTCTAGTCATTGTAAGACCCATGTTTTGCTGCCAGAAAGAGAGCTGGTAGTAACTGTGCAAAACTGGAGTAGTTTGACCTTTTTTTTTTTACATTTTTAAAATTTTCACTTTCTGTAGTTGTTACACATGGCAACCACCATTACATTAATGTTAGAGGAAGGTTTTTGTAAACAACAGCATGGCTACTGTATAGTTAGCATTAGACAACAAAAACACTTGGTTAAAGTTAGAGGAAATCATGGTAGCAATCTGCCATCTTTGTTCAAATACAAACGCTATTTTCCTACAGTAGTACTCAAAGAAAAACTTTTTGCATTACAGTATACAGGAGGCAGTGATGACCCAACAGCTCCAAAGAGTTACAGATTTAAAGGGATTCATCTAGGAAAGACAGACGTGTCATCAGTTTCATGAAGCATAGTGTTAGTTCAGAGTACTGACATTTTGTTTTAGTGGGTGATTGGCATCAGCTGTTTCCAATATGCTTCACAGCCATTGGCTCGTTCTCAACTGTGTGGCAAGTAACATTCAATCATATTTATGATGGTGCATGCCACAGACATTATAACCTGACACTTAGCACTGTTACTCTACTGATTGCACTCATGTCCTATCTCATCTCCCCCTTGCACCACCTTCTTCTTTATGTTGTATTTTACATATTGTTGATTTAAATAAGATTCATGTTCACATATGTTTAATAAAGGCCATTAGCTCTCTCAGAAGATTCCTCTTTGCCACTCGTATGCTTTGAACACTCAAATCAAATCAAAGACAAGAGCCTTTCCTGCCATGTCTGACTTGTAGCCATTTACATCTGCTCAGTCCCTTGATGTACTGTACGTGTCAGTGTCGCTTCATCACCCCTCTCTCACTCTTGACCTGTTTATCCTAGTGTTTCATACAGACCACAAAAACAGCACTACTTTAATTTAGTCATCTCTCTTCTTGTTGCTCTTGTCACCGGCAGTGTTGGTAATGTTGATATTAGGCTGCTTGGCCTCAGGCAATGTTGATCCAGTGGCAGGTAATTACAGGGGCTTGAATAGCACTTGTTTACTGTCACCTTTCAACTCATTTTTGTCTCATTCTGTCTTTATCCCCGTGAATATAATTTGAGTGTATGTGTGTGTGAGACAGTGTTACAGGTGGCCGCCCAGTAGGTGGGAAAATGCAGGAAGTCTGCTTGTCTGTGCGCACATGTATCAGACGCAGCATGTTTTTCCCTTTCAGAGGCGAGGTATCCTGTGTGTGTGTATGTGTCTGCGTCCTCACATGTGTGTGTATGCATGTCGCCGATCGCACTGGGCGGCTGACTTCCAGGAACCCCTGCAGCAAAAACAGGCACTGTGTGTTTCCTGCTCTCATGCACCGTTATCACAGGACACACACAAACACACACACATACGGATCATTGCCCTATTCTCTTTTCCCTTGCAGGTTTCCTCAACGCCCATCCTTGTGCCTCCGGCCGTCAAGATGTTTCACTGTGATTGTCATGAGAGAACTTGCTCTCAGGGAACAAACCAGAGGACACAAATAGGTGCGGAGTGACGGCATCCTCACAGCCCTGCTGATTCTTCTGGTCATATTTAATTGCTCAGTTTGAGTGGGCACATTACTTCTGCACCTATCCTGAACTTTCAGAGGTGTCATTTTTCTCAGACATGTACTCACAAATTTTCTTCATTTCATCAGGAATCTTGTCTCATTTTCTTTTCCTTTCTTCTTATCATTCAATATCCCCCCTTTTTTTCCTTCTCTCACCTTCTCTCCCTATATCGCTGCATGCACCCCATATAGCCAATCACCAACTGTCAGAGATTGACAAAAGGACCCAGACTGAAAAATGGAACTAGAGCACAGGGTCCTTGCTCTGTACCGGAGACTGTATCTATCCATATTCCCTATGAGAACACAATGCAACCCACCGCTGAAGCACCCCAGATGACAAGGGAGAGATGAGAGGGAGAGAGACAGATGAAGTGAAAGAAAGAAATGCACAGTGGCACTGTTTCAAACAGTTGCCATTAATGTCATCATCTTTCCCACACAGAGATTGCACTGAGGGAACAACGAGCTCCATGCTGATGGTCCGCTAACAATTCACCGACTGTTGTACATGACAGACAGAACTAATAGATGTTAGTTTAGTTGTGATGACAAACCAAAACCTGAATGAACCGGATTCAAAAATTATTCATTTTGCCAGTAAAAACACAATGAATAGAAAGATGTTTTCAAATGTGAAATTCTTATAATTGGAAAATAAGACACCATGTAACTATCAGTGCTGTCATGTAAATATTTTATCAAATGAAAAAGTTCATGTTCATTAATGACATGTATTACCACTAGGTGAAGGTTAGCTGTTTTTGATAACCACCCTAACGTTAATTTCTTTTCGCCAAAAGTACTATCGTCATTGCAAATTAGAAAAGAATGAACGGGGGAAAAGACTGTTTTATGAGATGTTATGAACGGGCTATGGTGCATGACTGGTTCAGCCATGCAATTCAAGTGGACCAGTTGTTATCACCAAGTTGTAAACATAGCTTCTGCTCTGTGCTTTCATTGGCTCTGCAGGCAAGATGACTTCCAGATGGTCCAGGGAAAGTGTTTGCCTTAGGTTAGTGTAGGCCATGCTGTCTGGGTCATTTTCTGCTGAGGCAAAGATAGAGATACGGTGTATATGTGAGTGTGTGTAGAAGCGCATGCATCACAAAATCCACACCCAGACACAACAGCCAACCAGCTCCTCTACCACACAGCTGGCTGGTTTTTGTCCATGACACTCTCCTGTGTATGCAAGTGTTTTTCAAAGCAAGGTCCAAGGACCTCGAAGGGACCCTATAGACATTACAGGTTGTCCTAAGCAAAAAAGACAAACGGGTATCACATTTTAAGTTTGTCTATAAAAAACAGGTATTTGCCTGTGTGTGCATTGAAAGAGTTTCTGGTTGTAACCATTGGTCCTGTTCATACTGGCCATAAAGAGAACCCCTCAATGTAACAGGCAGACAGACATGACGTTTCTGTGTCCATTATCTAAAGCAAATGAGTGCGTACAGTTACGCAATTACAGTCAGGGAAAAAAATTATTTGAACCCCAGCTGATTTTGTAAGTTTGCCCACTAACAAAGAAATTATCAGTCTACAATGTCAATGGTAGGTTTATGTGAACAGTGAGAGACACAACAATAACAAAAAAATCCAGAAAAATGCTTTACAAAAAAAGTTATACATTAATTTGCATTTTCATGAATGAAATAAGTATTTGATCCCTTTGCAAAACGTGCTTTAGTACTTGGTTGCAAAACCTTTGTTGGCAATCACAGAGGTCAGACGTTTCTTGTAGTTGGCCACAAGGTTTTCACACATCTCAGGGGATTTTGACCCACTCCTCTTTGCAGATCCTCTCTAAGCCATTAATGTTTCGTGGCTGATGTTTGGCAACTCGAACCTTCAGCTCCCTCCACAGATTTTCTATGGGATTAAGGTCTGGAGACTGACTAGGCCACTCCATGACCTTAATATGCTTCTTCTTGAGCCAATCCTTTGTTGCCTTGGCCGTGTGTTTTGGATCATTGTCATGCTGGAATACCCAACCACGACCCATTTTCAATGCCCTGACTGAGGGAAGGAGGTTCTCACCCAAGATTTGACAGTACATGGCCCCATCCATCCTC